ATCTATGTTTTACGATTATAATCTATAATGTACACAAAAGTCTAAAGGTCGCCAATTTTGTGTCACCGTTTATGGCAAGCTATCAATTATGGAGAAATCAACAAAAGCATTATCACATGTTGTAAATTATATTTAGAGAAAGAAAATGTTATTACCGTGTTTTTTGTGTCCCTTATGTCAGCGTGACAGAAAGAACAGATGTAAACGCGTTACGCCGACACGAAGGAGTTTAAAACTGTTGGAGCTTAACCCTCTTACGTTATAGTTATGTCGGCGTAAAAACAGATGAAAACACGTTACACTGGAGCATGAAGTTAAAAAAAAGATCTTTTTAACTCCATGACTGGAGTTAAAGGCCGGAGCACAGGGCTAACACCGGCGACCATTCACAAAGGATTTGTAGTGGCGTCCGAAACTGAATTTCAATGCTCACTCAACTGTATTAAGATTATTTTATTTCAAAGTAGGCAGGCTCGCGATGAGTGTCAAATTTTAAGTCGGTTAAGGCTGCTTATATTGACCTGTATACGTTGTTAAACTCGACTGGTTCCAATCATGGAATTAAAATTAGCTCCATATTCAAACGAGTTTAACTAATTAACTGCTTGAATTAAAAAGAACGCAAATAGATATAATAAAAAACGTGTTTGTTACTCATCTAACTAGTTTCAGTTTCGCGCAGTACTCATTTTTTCAAATAATATTTGTTGTTTGTTTACTTAAGGGTCAGGTGACTACCATTGAATTATATCAAAAATGACCCAGAATTTCAGGAAGTGTTAAACAAGAGCTTTAATAAAATATATAGTTTACTATAGTTCAGGCAATTATCATATGAAAATATCAAGCCTAATTATAACATCCCTGTTAAGTCTACTACATCCTTAACCGAAACATAGGATATCTACGAGTTGCTACTGTGTGCATTACCCATGCAGTGACCGTCATATATATGCAGTTTGTAGTAGCGTTCATAAGAACTGCTCCTGTTAATGTATCCTCGGGGGCGAAGCTACGTCACAGACGTTCCACGTTGCTAAGACGCGCACCACTGTACAACGTATTTCTATGGGCTTTGTGCGCGCTGCTGTGGAACGCCGGTGGAGCCGGTGAAAATTCGAGAAAACAACACAAACTCAACTTTGAAGTAATCCTGAACAACCAAATTCATATATGTTACACACGTAGGGCTAATCTTGTTACGCTGTTCAGGGGACTCTCAACAACAATCGCAAAGTACCGTTTTCTGTGAGTTTTGTTTTCACCGCGAGGGTTGCCAGGCGGTAGAAAATGCCCGGATGTCCGCTCCCCGAGGATATAATCAGAAACATTTTGGTAAATATTCTAACCGACACTAGTCGTGCTCAGGCTACACCGAGCATGGGTGGATGGGCAACGCTCAAATCCTTTGCGATTATTCAGCGCAGTATCCATGAGGGTTGCCAGGCGGTAGAAAATGCCCGGATGTCCGCTCCCCGAGGATAATAATAATAATAAATAATAAAGATAATTTATTGCATCCTTAGAAATACAGTGTTTCCATCAGTTTATAGCAACAAAAGTAAGATATTAAAAAACAAAATAACAAAATATAATCAGAAACATTTTGGTAAATATTCTAACCGACACTAGTCGTGCTCAGGCTACACCGAGCATGGGTGGATAGGCAACGCTCAAATCCTTTGCGATTATTCAGCGCAGTATCCATGAAGGCATACATATTAGCATGGATATGATATTAGTTATACGGTTATTAAACAATACCAAAGCAAATTCAGAAAGCGCAGATTATAGAATAACAGTCAGTCTCATTACAGCTCCCTGGTTCATTTTTTTTTGTGAACAAAGTCCCTGGATGTGTTTGTGTTGCTTGTCATCTCAGAAATGGCACACCGAAATTAATAGTTATGAATATAATAACAAATCTTCCAAATAGGCATTGAATAAAGTGGTGTTTTGGGTGCTTAGGCCCTGAGCCATAGTTCCTGTATCATAGATTGATAAAATGAATGTGCTTGAGCTAAGCTTGCGTGTACACTTCGTTAGCCCGTGCTAAGGATCTATACTTGGTCAGATTTCACTCGTACTTAGCGTTTTTTGCATATTTCCAAGCACGGGCTAACGTTGATATACGCTGAGTAAACCATAGCGGGCTTCTATTGGAGATGTGATTTTAATGAAGCAACTGCGGTATTTTTATTTGTCTTTTTATTTCCCCAGCCCTAATACTATAGTATCTCTATCGCTATATTTACTGCTATTAATTCAGAAAACCACAGGGACTGGACTACTAGTATGGAAGTCACCATTTACAGGGTGGACAAAGTTGAGAATTGAAACCAGATACAATACATTTCAAATAAACCGAGTCAGAGATCGCTAACAATTACGTGAGAGGGTAGAACCATGGAACTAGGGGTTTATAGTTCCATGGTAGAACGAAACAAACCATAAAATTAATTAAATAACTCTGTTCCACAAATTAATATAACTTTGCCAACCCGTCGTAGTATTCCACGACTATCATGTTTTGTCTCCAGCTGTGACTACCATAACAACTAATGTGGGTGACCGTGCTTGGACCGCGATACCGCCGTGTGAGATTGTAAGCTCTATGTAATAACACAATTACCATGGACTTTCGTGTGGATGTAAGACACTAGACTATAGGGGTTCAAGTCGGCACATTTGAATAGTTAGTTTCAACCATGGATTTACGTAGCTCCAAGTTTTAACATCACTTTCGGGGAATCAAGTTGGTAAAATCATGGAATTATCTCCATGGGGTAACTTCCGTTTATGTTTTGTTGTTGACGCCAACAAAGGCACGTAGAATATCAACATGTTGTTATTTGTTCTAAAAAGTGTGTATTGTACAGTTTGTGGGAATATATAAAAAAATGATTAGCATATGTTTTTTGAATTCCTTTATTTATATATTTTGTGAATGTGTATAGGTGGTTATTAGTATTGTCGCATGTCCCAGATTGTCATTACTCAAAACCAGGCCCAATAACACAGGGAATCTATAAATCATTTACTCAAGATTGACTCCAAATAATAAAGATTGCTATCTCAAGATTTAAGATCAAAATAATAGATTCTACTAAACGCAGAGTAATCAAAACTTGTACAATCGCGGATGTCCACTGCACAACCTAATACTCATCAAACTGACTACTCACTGTAACAATTTGAAAATAGCAGGAAAAGGCGTGTTTCGTGGGGAAAACCTGATTTATTTTAATGTCACATCACTAATCACACGACGAAAATGAAAGGGATCAAAATATTCACCGATATTCGATATTTCTAACAGAATCTTTTGTTATAGTGTGTTTACTAATAACACACATTGGGGTAACTTAATTAGCGAAATAAAATTTGAACACGTATACAAATTGAAATAAGTGGTATTTTAATGTTCTTTGTACCATTTTTTTATGAGACTCATTGAGTCTGAACCAAACAGCTGCAACTTGAATCCTAACTCACATTCCAATTTTCACGACTTAAAATTTTACTGCGGTGATTACTGTCCTGTTTCTTCAATCTAGATTTCGGCACAGACCATAATGATTGCCCTCGGCCCACTTTAACTGAATACCCCCTAAATAAATTACTAGTATTCAACATACCTTACCGTTTATGACATCATATTCCATCAAATACTATAGAGAAGATATATAGTCTTTGATTCCATACACATTTTATTGGGTTTCTTATAATTTACGAATTACGAACGACATTCATCATGCGTTTCAATGTCGGTCAATGAACCCACATAGTTTTTGCTTTTGTGAGATTTGATTTTGTGTATTCTGCCATGTCTTCAAACTGCCAACGATAGTTTTACCGAGGGGTCAGTGACCGTGTCAGGGATGTTGAGCACGTGATTGTCACCATAATATCTAGTGAAGAATAATTATCTACGTGCTAGATTTACAGTGTGTTCGCCTTCCATGGTTGTTCTATATTGCAACCGACGGTATGTGTTGATATGTACTTGCATACGTTTGACTAGTCCATTGCCGCTGCGCTACTATGACTTTGCCACAGGGGACAGGCGATGTCCGCTCCCCGTTGAGCGCAACTTAACAAACCGGATTACGGAAACTTTAATACCAGTAATAGTATTCCCATCTAAGAAATATTAATCGTATTCGTAAATCATTATTATTATTATTATTATTATTATTATTATTATTATTATTATTATTATGTGACAGAAAAATTCAGTCTATGTTTATGCAGTACTAGTAAGAACAAATTTTATCATGCAGTGGCGGATCTGGGGGGGGTCTTGGGGTCCGGACCCCCCGAAAATGCATTCAATTTGTTTTTGTATAATATAAAAAAAAATCATTAACTTAGTTTGGCGATTTTAAAGTTTGGACCCCCCCCCCAAATTCCTGTATCCGCCCCTGTCATGCGTACCAGTAATTCAAAACACTTAGGTGCGCGTCGATCATTAATGTATCCAACCATAATCCTTAGAAAACAGGTATATGGTCAAACGAATGTTTTTTATTAGTAAAACAAATCCAACATGCAATTGAATAAAATACTTTGAAATGTACAATCTCGTTTGTTTATTTTTAGAATTACTTGGAAAAGTTTGGATACCTGAAGAAATTAAAAGAAGGAGTACAACACGACGATAAATCAACTAACGCCGCTGTAAGGTAATGGACGGTTTGATCGGACGGGAGGTGACGAATTATCCCGAAGTTGACCGAGTGCTCTCGGCGACGACAGTTACATTATATTCACGTATATTTATGTATATTTCGGCACACACTTTGCAGAAGTATAGTTTGAGTGTGTGGAGTAGGTGGTCTATGGGTGGTATCTGTAGTTAGGGTGTATGAGGTTGGTCTACGAGTGGTGTCTGGGCGAGTTTTGTACAGACCAAATTAAGGTAGAAGCCTACACATAATTTTTGACAAAATTGGTCATAAATCGCATGACAATTTTTTCTTAGTTTATTATGTACAATCATGATGCTAATGTTCCATGGTACAATGAAATAGCATTATTTTGTGTGTTACGCACAGCTCCTTAGCACGGGCTAAAAGGTCAAATTCCTTAGCCCGTGCTAAGAAAACGTGCGTGAACGCTTAGCACGGGCTAAGGAATGCTAAGTACGGGTTAAATCTGATTCGAATTTAGGACGCAGTCTAGACCATTATCACGGGCTAACGAAGTGTGCGCGAACGCTTAGCCCAGGGCTAAGCGCCCTCTGCGACGACCTTTGGGTGTAGACAAAATAAATTTGGTTCGCTGTCTACGACATGCATTAATAAAACTCTGTATTCTGTTACGCCGTTGTATACTGTTTCTGTGCATCCAAATAAGTTGGTCCGTCTTCTCTCGCGTTCCTGTGCACGTCGCTTCAAAATTAAAACGAAACATGTCATCAGCAGAAACGAACTCCGCACAGTTCGATACGCGTTACTTATCATATTGCGTAAAGCGCAAAGGCCTCTGGGAAGGAGATTGCAGCAAAAATAGAACCTCGCGCGTGTCGTCCATTTTTTTTTCGTAAATAGCGGCTTGCCAAAGGTCACCGACTGATGGCGCCCCTTAGCCCATGCTAACGACTGGCCCTCCCTGTGCGTGGACGCAATTTGGTCTAGCCGAAATGCAAATATGCAAGATAAGCCTAAATCAGCTCAAATCTTAGCCCGTACTTCGTGTAACGCGAATACAACTAGTTAAGCTTTTTGAGAAACGTGGCCTAATATTTCTTGAAAATCGCTATTTTTAGAACAAATCCATAGAACACAATTTTTAAAATAATTCAGAACAACAAAAAGTACTCCTTCATTAATAATATATGATTTTTCAGCCTATGTCACAAGGTTAGATTTTGAGATATTGCATAAAATCTCTGCCATAGGAACCTATGGTAAAAGCATTAAAATACTCGAAAATAAGGCTGGCGACTTTGTTTACGTCAATATCCTTATGCTGCCTTCGAGTACAGTTTATTGCAAAATGAATAAATTCTGGATATTTTAATTTATGAGTAGGCTTCCACCTTAAATGCACCGCAATCGTCGCCTCGCGTCTTGTTCGATTCGACACTGACGCAATTTAATAAGATATGCAGACCTTTAATCACAATGTCCTTGCCTTAGGACCGAATTATTTTTGTAATCCATACAATTGTCTTTACATGTTATCTGGTACAGAATATGAAAAACAAATTTGGGTCTTGGCCAAGTTTGAAAATCACTAGAGCTCACATGAATGTGATCAGGGGTTTGTTAAAACCGACGACATACTAGTATTTGATTGGGAAAAAATAGTCATGACCCGTTAATTTCTATATACAGAGCGTTTCAACGCATGGCAAATCTCGAGGAGACTGGAAATATGGACGAAAAAACTATTGCCATGATGCAAGCACCTCGATGCGGTGTAGAAGACGTTGTGGGCTCTGGCAGGATAGACCATGACAAGAAAACCAAAGCTACCGGGAAATCGAAATTTGCAGATCGTCGTCGCTCGAAAAGATATACGATTCAAGGTACGATGCCATCAACATTAGAATATGCGTTCTTGGGTCTCTGAAACCCCTACAATAACCGCGTAGGCAAGATATGCGCTTTAGATTATTAAGCATGCAAATGTATTCAAACAAATCGTACTATATGAGAGCTTTATCTGAATGAGGAAATACAACACATACTATACTTGTTGTTTATTTGTCAGGTTAAATGCAATTGGTCACGAAATCGACGGTCTTTGAATAATTCAAAATTATAAACTATGGACTGTCAGTAATGTGTACGTTTTCATTCTCGTCATTACTTAATGTTGACAAATATAATCCCGATTGAAAGAATGAATCAATCATATTATTTTCGGTTTCCAGGTTCTAAATGGTCTAAAACCGATCTAACGTACAAATTCTACAGTTACACCAACCAATTAACCCATGGTCAAGTAAGAAGCGCCATCTATCGGGCGTTCCAGCTATGGGCAGATGTCTCCCCTCTCACGTTCACTGAGGTGGCGTCTGGAGATGCAGATATCAATATTGAGTTCGCCCGATGGACTCATAGCGATGGTTATGCAGCTTCGTTTGATGGACCAGGTAGCGATAACTTATTTCTAAATAATATCATGCCTACAGTTAATCTAGGCTATATATATATATATATATATATATATATATATATATATATATATATATATATATATATATATATATATATATATATATATAACACTTCACGGCAAGACAACTGTTGACATTGAGGGTTGTATGCCACGTTTCGCGTCACCTCGTCACTATAAAGCTATAAATGTTGGCATATATATTCATGTTGTAATTAGAAAAATTGAGAATGCTGAAAAATATTCTGATAAGGAATCTCTGATGTAAGAGGTGAGGAATATCCCCCCAGACTCGGGTCGACACTGGTGGGTATGACAGTCAGCTTCTATTTATCATGGATGTAATGTTTCTAATACAGGTCTCCAGATGTTAGAATAATCGGTAAAAGACTAAATAAATTCTTGTTAAATTATAACATGCGATTTTCTTACAAAGACTTGGTGTGGACATACAACAATGTCACGTGTCAACAAACGCGAATTTTGGGTATATGCCACATGTATCAATCTCTTTGACGAACAAATTTCTTTTTGCAGGAGGTACTTTAGCGCATGCGTATTTCCCAGAGAACGGAGACGCCCATTTCGATGACGATGAAACATTCACAGTGTACTCTGACGAGGGTACCAACCTATTCATTGTAGCAGCACATGAGTTCGGTCACAGCTTAGGACTGGGTCATTCCAACACCCAGGGTGCATTAATGTATCCATGGTACCAGGGCTATGTCCCTGATTATCAGCTACCACAAGATGATATTATGGGAATTCAATATCTATACGGTAAGAACAACACGATAGATTTCACAAATAAATGAAAAAATGCGTAATACACAAGAACACAAGGAACCAAAAGAAGTCTGCTTATATTAAAACACGAAATTTCGGATTGTTCACCAAACTTTCTCGTATTGTTTCTGTTTTTTTATTATGATAGCTATATCGCACCCCTAGTGACGAGCCACTTTGAGTAAAAGGGTGACACGAAGGACAATCAAATCGTCGATAACGTTTTGATCTGTAGTCGTTTATCTAGCCTGACATGTAGGCGTGAGTGGCGCCCTCGTCGGCCGAGACTCCCGATACCTTGTCAGGCTATTGTTTATCAAGATTATGTTTTTGGGGATTTTAATACAAGTATATACTAGATTAGGAACGACTACAAAACCAAATACAGTGTTCGATTTGAAAGACATACCTTCACCTCCCTGCGTCATTTTGACGTCACATAAGCATTCCATCACTAGAGGGCGGGATTTATAGGCTTGGTGTATTTATTTGTACACCTCTACCAGTACAACGAATAAGAAATACAACGGCCTCGTGGTCGCCATTGCAACGTGGGTTGCGATGACGTTTTTTTATATTCAGTTCAGGAAAAACACATTTATATGACCCACAAAAGATTGTGATGAACACCGAGGGCGCATTTGAAAGACATACAAAGTACTTACTCCGAGCTTTCACTTGTAGGTATGCCGGACGTGTCCCGTCCCGATCCAGATGAGGGTGGAGATGGATCTAAACCAACAAATCCGGATACCGAACTTCCGGAAATATGTACAGACCCCTTTGATACCACATTAATGGGTAAGTGCATAATCTTATACACACCGGGTCATACGATGCATTGATTCCATGGAGTTATCAGGGGGAAAATCTCTTCCTCGGGGTTCTCCACACTTGTCAGGGGGAAAACTCGTCTCGTCTCTCTATCTCGTCCCCTTGAGGTACGGGATCGGGAAAGTCACTTTAACTTTACAGTCAAATAAGGCACACACAACGAAATACGTTTCAACTCTCGTCTTAGTCGATCTTTTGGAGCACTCTATAAGACACAGCGCCCTGGGGAAAAGTCCCCAAGACTCTCACAGGGCTGAACCAAGACTCGCCCAAGACTGGACTGCCTCAAGGCTCGCCCCTGGACTCTCTCGGACTGTGTCTGTCGTGGAGTATTCGCCAAGACCAACTCAAACTCTCTTTATTCATTTTCAAAACTCTAACCAATTACAAAGCAGTAAAAAGACTCTAGGGCGTAACCTTCAATCATAAAGCCAAT